CCCCCTCAAAGGATTAAAAAAAAAAAAAAAAAAAAAAAAAAAAAAAAACAAAAAAAAAACCCAAAAAAACCCCTCAATACAGAGGCTTGAGAATGTTTTTTGCGGATTTTTGGATATTAGGTGCAAGGGTGACATTCTCGTGTTCCAGCCACCCTGAAGGCAAGCCTGCAGCCCTTGGCACTGAGGATGGTCTTGCAGAGTGCACCTACCTGGTGGTCCCACAGAGCCACAAGCACCTGATCCAACACCCACCCAGCCAAGAGAATGCAGTATAATGCCTAAATTAGCTGTATTCACAGACCAAACTCCCCAAACCGGAGGGAAAGATAGCACTTTGCCAGAACAAGCTGTTTAAAACACCAAGTGAGTTTCTACCGTATGACTTCGTCTAGGTGCGACAACTTGAAAATCAAGTAATCTACTAAGGTGACACATCTTTTTCACAAGAGCATGCAAATGCCTCCTGCAATTTTGGGACAGACCATCCTTGTGAATTGGCCACTTATGCTTCTCATCTGCTCATTGAGAAAAAACAAAAACAAAAAACCTAAAAGAAGGCTTTTCTGTATTTTGGAAAGAGAATGATAGAGGAAGCAGATGAAGGTTTTTCTGTATGGACTGAGATGACCCGAAATGAAAGCAGTTGTGCAAAATAGCCAACTCTGAAATCTGTCTCCATGATCAGGAAGGAACACACAGCACTTCCTTACTGAAGCTGGCCAGCCTGGTTGGACCTGCTCAAGCACACAAATCATATTCTTCAGGCCATCTCCATTAGAAAACACTTCCATCCTTCAAAAGCTCTATCCCCTTCCTGGCACCCGTCTCTTGCAAGCAGCTCTCACCCCCTGCAATCCATCTTAAAAAAAATCCCCTCTGCAGCCTGCTGGAGATAATTCCTCTTGCTCTGAATCACTTTGTGCAATTCAGACAAGGTGAGTCTGGCTTGAGTTTAGACTTCTGGCTGCTGGTGGGATGCTGTGTAGGCTGGAGATGGTGTTTTGGTGAGCTGGGGCTGCTGTGTGGCCGTGTTGCATTGCCCTGGAAACGTGAGAAAGCCCTGCTCTGGAGGCTGCTTCACAAACGGCTGCTGGTGGCAATAGGACATCTGGAAACCACGTGGAAGCTGCAGATGGTGGAAATGTGGTACGTGGGAAGCATGTGAATTGCTCAGTAAGCCTCTAGGAACAGTGATGGAAACTCCTACATGGTAGAGACCTTCCCTGGGTGTCTCGGGAAGGATTTTATCATCACACTGCAAGCTAGAGCTTATACTCATGCAAAAAATATCAACGTTATTTCTGGATAGGGAGATTGAGTCACCTTTCAATTTTAGGAATTCTGCTGGGCAGTTTGTGCAACAGAGAAGTAGGAATAGAATGGTAATCATAGGTCATGTAATACAATCCCCTACAGCAGGTACAACTACGCCACCAAGTCCTGATGACTAAGCAATCTCACCTTTAATTTAGAAGTTTTTTTACTGCTGGAAAATTGTCACAGATGTGATTCTCTGAGTATTGGGAGTCAGTCAAATGTGCCAATATAATTTGAGTTTTTTTGTTTTTCTTGCCTTCACCCAGTCTTTAGACAGTCATGGAGGAAAAGACAAATCATGTAACTTAACATTATATTGATTTTCCCTCCCCCCAATTAATATTTCTTGTTTAAGATTGCACATAAAGGTTAAAATCCCTTCAGTTAATCCAATACTGTGAGTCTACCACGAATTCTAATCTTAGCATGAATTCTGCCGTGAAGTCAGGATGCTGTTCTCTGCTTTAGTCCTAGTATTTGTTTAAATTTTCCTAATTTCTCCCTTTCAGTCACTGTGCTAGTAGAATCCGAACTGAAGACCACTTCCACAGGAGTTTTATCCTATTGCAAACTGGCAATACACAGGTTTAAGAACCAGCTGTGATTCCCAGGTGAGGAGAATGAGAAGGCTCTGTATCTGAGGGCGATTCCCCAGTGAGAGGAAATGAGAAGAATCTGGTGAGTCTGTATCACACAGGTTGAGAGGCAGCAGCTTTTCTTCTACAGTCCTTATCTCTGACCAAATGTGAATCACTTTCATCATAACTCCACATTGTGTCACAAATCACAGAATAAACTAGATCAATTACTTCCTTATGAGTGATAACTGAGGTCTTGGTGGCCAAAAGGTTGGCACCTCTTGAAGATGCTGGAGAATGGAATTACTGCACAAATTGTTTCTGCAAACATTGCCTTCCACCTGTTTGGCTTTAGTAAGATCAGATAAGCAGGGCACTTCCTCTTCTTCTAAAAATGTGGCTTGTGGCTTTCCTTCAAAATGGAGAGAAAAATCTCCTTGCATGATTTCTTATTAGGTGATAGGGAGAAGGAACAGCTGAAGTGTTTTCTGCACAAGTCTAAGTATTACAGGTCCCTGGAATACTTAGAATCAATTGAATTGGTAATCATTATTTTCCTCATAAATATCACTTCTTTACCTTGATTTCCTTCCTGTAGCCTCTGCTGGAAAATGTAATGTTTCAGACGTACTAATGGATAACTACTAATGTACTAACCAGCTAGGAGAGGTTATTCAAGCTCTGTTGACCACTTCCCAGAACGCAGATTTTGCAGGAACTGCCATCTCTTTGCTCAGTTGTGATAGCCAGCATTTTATGCTGATGACTCGACAAGAGAATATCCCCATGCCTTTCTGGTCAGGGCCTGAATGAGGAAATAAAAGCCAGTTGCAGGGTTTGCAGTTTATCTCTTCAGAGGGCACAGGAGGAAATTATGAGGAGAGCGAGCAAATTTGTTGACAGGAAAGATTTGTGCTACAAGTGAAGGAATGTTCTCAGGAAGAGTTTAGGGGAAGGGGCTGTTTTCCAAGAGTCTTCATTAGATGTTTTGAGAAAGCAGGGTGGCTCATGCAGAGACAAGTGTGCAATAATGCTCAGGACTGCCTTCTGTCAAAGGCCCATGAAATTCTGGAGGTTCCTGTACTTGGTTTCTTACTGCTGACAATGTACAAAGCTGTTGGGTGTTTTGAGGAAGAGAGGATCATATGGTGGAGGAGGATAGAGGATCAAAATGAACATGCAAGCTAGTTTGTGTACTTTTTGATCAGCTAGTTTAATGGGAAAAAACCCCAAGCTTAAAATCACACAGGAAACTGCTGTCTTTCAGACCCAAGCCTTATTTTCAGCCATGTTATCCATCTGCAGTAGAATAAGTGCACGTGCTAGCCAGAAACATTATTAGGATGAATGTGCATCTGGCAAAGCAGGGTTCAAACCCCATCCTGTGTGATCGGCCATGTGGCTGACTTGAACTTCAGAAGCAGATTACATCAGGCTGCAACCACTTCTTCTGCTTCAGGGGGTAGCTGAGGGGTCTGCTTCATTTTCAGAAGCCAACATTCCACATCTGGCAGTGGCAATTGGGTGTTGAAAGAAGCCATTCTTTAAGGTAGCATTTATGTATGAACAATTATTTAAAAAGTGTAAGGAAACTGATACTCACATACTGAGTTGGTGGTAGTTTTACTATGGGATATATGCACATATCTTCTTCCAGAAATGGTTAAGCATCCATTTTGTGTACCAAAAAACTTCTTTGCAAAAGCTGGTTGGCTAAAGTGATAACCTAAAAAAGCCAGGAGTCACTGCTTTCCTCTTGTGACTGAAGGAAAGTGTCATTTTTACATGTTTAAAGTAGCATATGTTAGTGCACAGATGGACAATGGTGCTGGCAGACAATTATCTGCACCCATCTGCATAAATCAAGGAAAAGCTAAGACATGCTACATCTTTCTCTTATCCCTGCAACGGAGGTTTTGAGATGGATGAGTGCACTGAGCAGCGATTGTAGGCCGATGGCTAAAGTATTCTGAGAAACTAATTGGGTTTGTAAGGACATCTCATGGTATTGTGGCAACCTGGGCCCAGAGGTTAACACATCTAGTCATTTGGAAAGCATTGGGCAAGACCAGGGCTGTAGCTTATCTCTACTATAATTCCACTTCTCTGGGCCATGGATATCTGGACCCCTGCTTATTTTAGCCTGGTGTTTTCCCACTCCTCTCCAAAGGCAGGAACCTAAAGAATGATCCAGTGGAGATGTGGACTCTGTAGACCAGGTTAATATAAGCCCAGTGATAAGGCACGGGCTCTTTCCAGCCATGTTTCCCACAGCTTGCTCAGAAGATTGTTTAGCCATCTATCAACCTACTACAAAGACACTCATCAAATCTCTTGGGAATAGCCAAAAGTTTGGCTACTAAGAAATCTCTTTGGATCACCTTGCTGACATGATTCAGTTACCCTACTTGGAGGTGGAAGTTGTGCAAAATCATTTTTATGTGTGAAATGAAATGCCCCTCCCAGACTGTAACTTGAAGGGAGACTGACGACTGAAGTTGCTGTTAACAAGGCTGCCACAGACACTGGCAAAACTTTTTTGTTGTTTCTTAAACCTAGTTTTATATGATATGACTAGGAATATTAGAAGGGCTTCAAGGTACCTGATTTGTTCATGATCAAGGGACTGTCAAAGAAATTACTCTGCTATTGTAAGTTATGTACACATCTAAAAAATCCAGATTCCCTCCATGTATCCATAAGCAAGTCCAATGCCATTGGAGAGGAAGAAACTACAAGTTCTTCCAATGCAACACTAGTGATATAAGGACCTAGCTCTGTTTTGAATGAAAATGTAGGGATGTTTTAGGAAAAACATATATAAAGTGGCTGTAGATACATTAAGGCTAGAAACTAAATGGAACATGTTCCTTTTCTTTGCTCAGCAGAGTTGTACAATAATTCCTTTGCAAGACTCTCTGGTCCTTCAGTTACTTCATGAGTTTGAAGCTGCTCTTAGATTAGAGTATCTTCCTAGGAAATCTATGGTGTTGAGGGAGTTAGTTTATCTGCAAGAGTGATTTCATTCCTGAGGTTTTGTGACCACTTTGTTATAAAAATGCTGTGTCTAAAAATGAATATGGTATACGAACCACTTTATTCGGTTTACTTCTAGTCAGAAGCTGACCTGTGACCCTCAGATTTTCCCTTAGCCAAGGGATAAACAAATTTAAGTTCCCAGAAAGAGCTATCTTTATTACATCTAAAATAGAGCAATGTATGGGTTTAAATTTAATCAGTAATTTCAACCTCTCCAAGCTACCATTATGGCTTTCTGTGAAAGCTTGTAAAAATAAAAATATCTTAGACAAAAATAACAGTCCCTCATTCTAAGACCGTGGAGTGTCTCAGTACATATTTGGCACATCCTCTGAGGTTCTATCAACAACAATCCAAAATAGGCTGATGTAAAAGGCGAATTATAAAAGTAAGTGGTGTTTAGTGTCTGGTCCTGTATCCTCTGAGGCTTCTGACAAGCACTCAGTATAATCTACAATGCTCATAAGATAAAATAGTGGGCATTAGAGGCTGGGCAGTGATGCTCAAGGTCAAAGTCAGTTCTGCAAAAGAAATGCATTGAATTCCTATTCTGTTAAACTTTCTCGCTCAACTTGACAGCAAATCCAGCGTCTCCATTCTCTCTCAGGTGTACTTTACAGACTACTAGTTTCTTCTACTACATAATAGTAATATATATATACACATATATATAGGATTTGTGATAGGAGAGCATTTTGCAATCTCTTGGTGTGAATATACATAACTTCATCAAAATAAATAAGGTCTATGTTATTCTCAGATGTGACTTTGTTTGAAACCATCTTTCCTAAAATTGCCTTAAAGACTACATTAATACTTAATGATATTCCTCTCGTGGGAAAACCACTGTAAAATGCACTTTTTCATGTTTAAAGTAAGACTTTCAGAATGGTAACACCTCCTAACAACAAAAAGACAGCTGGAGGTCTGCAGAACTGAACCAGAAGCACTGATACCACTGCAGATGAAGCACACCATCAACATAATCCTTTTCTTTTTCTTCTTTTTTTTTCTTTTTCTCCAGAGGCACCAGATGGCAGCATTTTTCCCTCACTGAGTGTGATCTCATCCTCTCAGACTCACTCCTGGGATCATCAGGCTTTGAGGCTTCGTAAGCCACAATGACCTCAGCTGAACTGCACCTTCTCTGTTGCCACCTGCTCCTTTTTCCTAATTTTATTGGACATGCACAATCCAGGCCCTTGAAGTTGTGGTTGCCTTTTCCCTGTGCAGGTCTGAGAGTCTAAAAAGAATCATTAACAAACAGGTATGCAAAAAATTTAGACCACGGAATACGGCTCTGGCCTCTAAATTTTCCACATCCTCTAAATATTACGGATCATGAAGTTTATTTGATATTCTTGTTAACTACATGCTCTTTTCCATATACACACGTGCACAATGTAATACTTGTCTACAAGCAAGTTTGGCATGTGTCCTTTTCTATCAGTGCTTTATTCCTTGAATAATATTTCATTATAAACAAGTTATGTATGTCAAGTTATGCGCTACTAGGCTTGTAACCTCTGTTGCAAGAACTCAATTCTGGACAAATAATCTGAATCAGAGCAGGGATTTTTGAGAACTAAACTGCAAGATCTGGGTTTTTTTACAGTTACAGACATGGCCTAAAGCTTTGTGGGCTGGGAATTCTGTTATCTCACAATCCTCTGTTCTGCTTCTTCCCTTCATCCTCATGTTATTGCTTTCAATGCTGCTTTGTTAGTGGTTTTGAATTAGAAGAAAAAAACCTACACATTATGTCCAGCTGTAACAAACTATTCTTAAAACATCTACCTTTAAACTTGAATTCTGCAGCACTGGGATGCAAATGTTTGTTTATTTGAACGATGTGACTAACACTGACAGCATAAGAAAGGCTCTTTATAGTGGGGTTGGATTGCTGGGCCCCAGAGGGTGAAGGAGTAGCAGCCCTGGCTGCTGCTTTCTTTGACTGTTACTCCATCAGGTTGCTGGTGTTTCTGCTCTGGTGACTGTGTTAATGCTTTGCAAATGCTATGAGCTCAGTAGTAGACTATTTGGGGATTGTATAATTTATTAACTTCTGACAAGCAGGCCATTATTTTTCTGAAGAACATGTGTGACAAGGGACTTTACTTTTATTTTATTTTTCAAATTTCAGCCAAATTCAACATGAGTGTCACAGGATAGGGGCACTAGATCCTTGACAGCCCCACCCTTCCTCTTATTTAATACCAAAAACTATCTGTAAACAAGCAAGAAGGAGGGAGGGAAGAGTAATTCTCAGAGGAAGTATTAAGAATCCTGTATGATTAAAACATTAGGCTGTGTAAATTTGGGAAACACTGCTATTTTCTTCTGTTAAAAAAAAATTCCAATTAAAAAAGTACTAAAATTCCTTCTGTTTTATCTCACTTTCTTGTAGCAATTCTTTTCCAGGTCTGGATTTGCCTGTACTTTGCCATAAACTAGTATCTACAAAGAGGACAGATGTAGCTTTATGCCCAAGATGTGTAAAATAAATGCAATCGAAGTATATGAGCATCTCACCTGAAAGTGGAGTGGCATTGCACCGCTGGAAGTCAATTGTGTTAGTTTCACCTTACCCTCTAAAAAAGAAGGCAAAGAAATTTAAATATATCTCCACTTTTTAAATTATTGATGCAATCCCTTGTGCACAGTTGCTTTGCAAAGTGGAAGGAAGATTAACTGTAAATATTTTGTCTAACTATAGCACCGTAATTACTATTTCTCACCTTCTCTGAGAAAGACAAGCAGGTACCTGTGATGAGCTTTGTGAGGGGAGAGATGCTGAGAAGGTAAAAAGAGTGTCTGGTGTCACTCAGTATGGAACATTACAGCTTACCATTATTTATTTTGGAACTGTGACCACTGACCAAAAGATGGGAACTATAAATAGGAATGCAATAAGCATTAGCTGCGCAAGAAGGAAAAAACAGTGTAACTTGGCATGCAGCAAAACGTGTATCTGGCATAGCATACAGCTGTCCCTGCAACTCCCACTGCCACCCCGGGGGATTTTGCTGATTTCCCACTACTTACCATGAATTAGGAACAGCACCATCTCTGTTAGCTTTGATTCTTACTCAGTAGAGTTCGCTCAGATAGGTCCTGATAAACCTTTACCTAAGAAAGATACAAGTCTCCTCCTACACGTAAATTACAGGGAGAAGATTGTTTGTTTTGTGAAGTGTAACTGCTATGTACCATTCACAGGCTGCATCTTGCACAGTAAGTGAAATAATTGTTGGAACAAGCTGATGGAATCACTGCTTCCCTCTGCTGCAGTTCAGAATGAAAACACCAAACAGGGCCAAATTCTGCCTAGCAGAGTTCATTGTGTTTTTGCTTCTAGACTGCCATGGCTGGAGGATGCATCTGTAAAAATTCAGAGCATGTTAGCCTAGAATGGACTGAGATAGAGACCTTGGCAGTTTTGCAACAGAAACATATTTTCCACTGACTCCTGAGCTTAGCTTTCAATCATGTCAGTCTGGTATGTGAGAGCAAGAAACCCAACACAGACACTTTCCTTTCCGTGTGTACATTGTTATATGATGCATACAGAACATGGTGAGTGCCCTCAGAAAGGCATCCCCTGAAAGAAAATCTATAGTTTCATGTTTTGAACATCCTCATTTCCCCTTCTTATCCTTGTAACATTTCCTATATGGCCTTAGCCACAGAGAAATGTTTGGTTTTTTTTTTCTGTAGCAGACAGTGACAATTTCAGGTGTTATAGCAGGTGATGTGGGAATGGGAGGCTGCAAAGAGTGGTTAGGAAGAAGTTGTTACAATGCTCTATGTCTAAAAAGTAGACAAAAGTAAGCATTTCATTAGGAGGGGCAAAACAAGATACACATGGAATAAAATCTGAGTTTTTCCTGAGAGACACAAGAATACCAACTGTCTTAAGAGCTTCTGCCACTGATCCTATTACAGTTGCGTGATTTCTCTCTTGGTGCCTGTTCACCACTGATTGTCCTGCACAGAAAAAAAATACAGGTATTGCACAGGGACAGTTGGCGCCATTCCAGCCCAAACTATAGCCTGGACTGTTCTCCTGAGCTAGGCTAGATGTTGCTTCTGGCCACACAGTGAATTTTGAATGCCTGAAGATGTCTTTGACAAGTAAAGACAGCACGGAATTGTGTAGGCAAGGATGTTACACGCTTTTCCTTGCTTATTTTGTTTTTCAGTTGGGAGAAGTAGGCTTTCTTTGTTTGGAGTTATATTTTTGTCTTCAGTGAGTGCTTCTTAGGAGCTGAAGTAGAGCTAGCCCCACTCAAGACATCTGTAAGTTTTAAGCAGTTTTTCCCATCCGAATGGGACTGGATAACTTCCACTGCCAGCTGAACAGCAGAACATCAGCCAGAAAAAACATTTAAGTACATTTACACATTTGATGCTAACGGCCAGAGAAAGAAGAATGGATAAATGGTGTTTACTCCATTTATCCTCAAGCACAACAGAGTACATAGCTTCCTTTAATAACCCCCTGTAGCACAGGCAAGAGGCGATGGTCCTGGTTCCTGGTGTTTGTGATAATTTGCCAATGAAACACAGAGGTCTCGGATTGTTTGTGCATTGTTTATTGCAGCTTTTACCCCTGCAGCCAGATTCTCCAAACTGCTATTTTGTTTTTTCAATGAAGACTTCAGAATGGATTTTGTAAACAAAAAAATACCCCAAACAAAACTGCTAGAGAGTGAATGGCTGCTATCAGCTGATTTCTTAGAGGAGGTGAGTTTATAAGTGATTGGAAAAGGCAGAAGGATGTCTGGTCACACATGTGTGGACACACGTTTGCACTGCTCCTCAGGAGTGTCCAAGTGGATGAAGCTTGCCCCGGGGTTGCAGTTACACCCTGCACTGTGTGCCCAGCGTGAGGCTAAGCCGATGTTTAGTCCTGCAGACAAAAAGGAGTCCTTCGGCTTCGCCAATTTAACAGGAGTTCTGGATTAAGTAGGAAAAGGGTAACTAATTCTGCTGAAACATCTGGATCATACAGATGTGAGAGGTCGTTCAGAACAAATATACAATCCTCTTTGTGGTCGGCACTTGGGATATCCAGAGGACTTTCCCTAGACGTACACCTGACAAAGAGCATAATGGAAAGCACCTCAAGCCCAGCTCAAGGGTGGGTTATTTGCTCCGGCACTCCCTTTCTCAGGGCACATCCAGGTCCCCGCCCGGGCCGGCTTCTCCTCGGGGGTCAGCTGCTCGGGCCTGCGGCGGCGAGGCAGAGGGGAGAGGACACGGGCGGTCAGGGCTAGCGGGGTGGGAATTCTGCCACAGGACGGGGAGAAGCCAAACCCACCTCTCCAAAAGGTGAGATAATTGCAATAAGCCCCAGAACTAAAAAGCGGGCCCGCGGCCTGCCAGGACCAGCCGGCTCTCCTCGGGCGGCCTCGCCGGGCCCCGGGACCGACCCCAGCCAGCCGGGAGCAGTGGGAGGAGGAGGAGGAGGAGCGGAGGGAGGAGGCAGCGCTGGCAGCCGGGCGGGGAGGGGCCACGCGGCGCCGAGGAGGAGGAGGAGGACTAAGATGGCCACCAGCCGCCGCGGGGAGCGGCCCCGCTCCCTCCGCGGCCCCCTCGGCGCGGCCCGGCCTTGATGGGGCCGGGACGACCCCGGCGCCCGGACGGTGCAGCAGCGGCGGC